ATTCTTTAACTTCCCTGTATCCTAATATATTTATCTTTGTTCAAATGTTTCATTCTCGAATCGAATCAAAATCGAATTTCCTGGCTTGACCATTCAGACCGCAGTGGGGTGTTCAGTAAAAAATACTAACATAACTTAACATGCTGTATAAAGTCTAAGAGGAAAATATGTACACGAAATTTGAAATGTGAGTCAGATAAACGGCGTGTCGTGACTTGTCCAATATTGTAAAAGCGCAGTGTTGTGGCAGTGGCGAAGTTTTGTTTATGCACAGGTCTTTACATGCTCGTACTGCATACTGCGTAGCAATAAGACTAATTTGAATGACGAATACTGAATAGTCTTGTTAAGTGCGAGTCGTTGTCGTTTTTATTATTGACAAAATGTTTATCAGACTTAGTGAAAACCCGATACTAGGCTTTCGAACCGTTATTTAATTTACAGTCATGTTTTTTGCATATTGTTGAAAAGATATATATAATAAAAAATAAATAATTAGACTATCGACCAATTGTCATTTGTGTATAATATACTATTTTTTTTAAAGGGAGCTAATTATTATCATTAGTTTTTTAAATTGAGAAGTTATTATTTCGTTGTAATAATTTTTCGCATATTTTTATAGATACTATATCTTATCATCAATGAAAAGTTGTTTATATAAAAAAAATTTAAAAAAAAAAAAAAAAAAAAAAAAAAAAAAAAAAAAAAAAAAAAAAAAAAAAAAAAAAAAAAGATAAAAAAATAAAAGGGGTAGAGGGGGGTAAAAAAAAAGGGGGGGGGGGGGGGGGAAAAAAAATTAGGGGGGGGGAAAAAGGGGGGGGGAAAAAGGGGGGGGGGGGGGGAAAAAGGGGGGGGGGGGGGGGGGGGGGGAAAAAAGGGAGAGGAGGGGGGGGGGGGGGGGGGGGGGGGGGGGGGGGGGGGGGGGGGGGGGGGGGGGGGGGGGGGGGGGGGGGGGGAAAGGGGGGGGGGGGGGGGGGGGGGGGGGGGGGGGGGGGGGGGGGGGGGGGGGGGGGGGGGGGGGGGGGGGGGGGGGGGGGGGGGAGGGGGGGGTTGGGGGGGGGGGGGGGGAGGGGGGGGGGGGGGGGGGGGGGGGGGGGGAGGGAAAAAAAAGGGGGGGGGGAGGGGGGGGGGGGGGGGGGGGGGGGGAAGGGAGAGGGGAAAGAAAGGGGGGGGGGGGGGGGGAAAAAAAAGGGGGGGGGAGAAGGAGGAACAAAAAAGGGGGGGGGGAAAGGGGGGGGAGGGGGGGGGGGGAGGAGGGGGGGGGAGGGGGGGGGAAGGGGGGGGGGGGGGGGGGGGGGGAAAGAGGAGGAGGGGGAAAGAGAAAAAAAAAAAAAAAAAAAAAAAAAAAAAAAAAAAGAGAAAAAGGGGAAGGGGGAGAAAAAGAAGAAAAAAAAAAAAAAAAAAAAAAAAAAAAAAAAAAAAAAAAAAAAAAAGAAAAAAAAAAAGAAAAAAAAGAGAAAAAAGAAGAAAAGGGGAAGAGGGGGGGGAGGGGGGGGGGGGGGGGGGGGGGGGGGGAGGGGGGGGGGGGGGGGGGGGGGGGGGGGGGGGGGGGGAAGAGGGGGGGGGGGGGGGGGGGAAAAAGGGGGGGGGGGGGGAGGGGAGGGGGGGGAAGGGGGGGGGGGGGGGGAAAGGGGGGAAGAGGAGTTAAAGGGGACAAAACAAAAAAAAAAACAGGGCCGGGGGGGGGGACCCGGGGGGGGGGGGGGGGGGGGGGGGGGGGGGGGCCGGGGGGGGAGGGGGGGGGGGGGGGGGGGGGGGGGGGGGGGGGGGGGGGGGGGGGGGGGGGGAAAGGAGGGGGAGGGGGGGGGGAGAAAAAGAGAAGGGGGGGGGAGAAAAAGGGAAGGGGGGGAGGGGAAAAAGGGGGGGGGGGGAAATAAAAAAAAAAAAAAATAAAAGGGGGGGGGGGGGGGGGGGGGGGGGAAACAAACAAAAAAAAAGAAAGAAAAAAAAAAAAAAAAAAGGAAAAAAAAAAAAAAAAAGAGGGGAGGGAAGGGGGGGGGAGGGGGGGGGGGGGGGGGCGGCGGGGGGGCCAACAAAGGGGAGAAGGGGGAAGGGAAAGGAAAAGGAGGGGGGGGGGGGGGGGGGGAAGGGGGGGGGGGAAGGGGGGGGAAGGGGGGGCCCGGGGGGGGGCGCCCCCCCCCCCAAACGAGGGGAGGGAAAAAAAAAAGAGGGGGGGGGGGGGGGGGAAGAAAAAAAAGGAGGGAAAAAGGGGGGGGGGAAAAGAGGGGGGGGGAGGGAAAAGGGGGGAAAAAAAAAGAAAGGGAAAAAAGGGGGGGGGGGGGGGGGGGGGGGGGGGGGGGGGGGGGGGGGGGGGGAAAAAGGGGGGGGGGGGGGGGGGGGGGGGAAAAAAAAAAAGAAAGGAAAAAAAGAAAATAAAAAAATTTAAGGGGGGGGGGGGGGGGGGGGGGGGGGGGGGGGGGGGGGGGGGGGGGGGGGGGGGGGGGGAAAAAAGGGGGGGGGGGGGGGCGGGGGGGAAAAAGAGGGTTGAGGGGGGGGGGGGGGGGGGGGCGGGGGGGGGGGGGGGGGGGGGGGGGGGGGGGGCCGCCGGCGGGGGGGGGGGGGGGGGGGGGGGGGGGGGGGAACCCCGGGGGGGGGGGGAAGGGGGGGGGGGGGGGGGGGGGGGGGGGGGGGGGGGGGGGGGGACAGGAAGGGAAGGGGGAAAAAAAAAAAAAAAAAAAAAAAAAAAAAAAAGTGGTGTTTTTTTTTTGGGGGGAAAAAAAAAAAAAAAAAAGGAAAAAATTAAAAAAGCAAATTTACCGGTACATATAGATAGCAACTCTATCCGTAACCTCAACCAAGCGCTAAGAACTTGCGCAAAGTATCTAGATAGCTATCGAATAACACTGGCAAGCAATACAATCATTTTTTATTTAATCAAGTTTAATATGTTTTTTCGTGAACAGGTTTTGATAATAAACAATAAGACAATTACAACGCTGGTTAAAGGCCGATTCACATGTATCAGTGAAGCCACAGTACCGGCACAGTGCGAAATTTTATTTACCGACGTCCGGAATGTTTGGTATTTGTTTGTTTACAGTATACCTACCTGGTACAGGCTGTACATCTGAGATTCATACCGGTTAAGAATAAGAAGTACTTTAACCACTCTAGAAGATTTTTTTTTTATAATTTTCAGGAATACCGAATCAATTGAGGTCTTTTGCATTCTGCAGGTGTTAAAAAACTAATAGTCCGAAATTGTATAATATAGATTATAAAGCAATATTTAACAAGATTTGACCTAAGTCGGGGCAAGTTAGAATCGAGATCAGAGTTTTAAGTCATATTTATTATAAGTGCCGAAATTAAAAAAGTTAACGTATTATAAGCCATGTATAGTTATTAAATATTATTTTGAGACTTGTATGTTTATAAATAAGAACGTAGAACTTTCTGCGCGTCGATCTGTCTGTTAAGATAATGTTGTCATTTCGGTAAGATGATGTTGTCATTTCCCATTTTAAAGTTCAACAACACTAATATCTGGTAATGTTGTCAGATGTCGAGGATATCATGCAGCAGCCTCCTCGGCGCACTGGATCGAGGACTTCGATACTATATTTTAATCTTAACTATCTTGGTGTATCCAGCGAGATATAAAGTTGTTTTATGTTGCTGATTTTCTAATATTAATCATAACTCATGAAAGATGAAACAATGATTCAATAGAGTTAGAATCTCCTATACAATGACAGGTACTGCTGATATCTGAGCTTGAAGTTGTATAGTAATTCCGAAGTGATCATGTTAAGATATAATATCAAGATCACTTTGACGATCCTACACAACTAAAAAATAGTCACAGTTCTGATTATTAGTTAATTATTTATGTGCGTACGTCGATAATTTATTCATGATTTATACGATAATGACAGCTTCATACTTACAATTTAATTTATTTGTAAACATTAACGATGTTTAACACATACTCTAAGCATACCATCGCTGCCAATGAAATTTTCAAGAATATGTCAGATAAAGATAGAGTAATAGTAGACGTTCTAGGTCTCATTTATAAACCTACTATTGATGTAAAATAAACATTGTTTGGTTGTCTAGAACTATTTTGAATCTTATAGTGCGATTATAAGTAAGACCAAATAGGTATAAAATGAACTTTGTTGAAATGCTCATTATATAATATTATTAATTAGGTACATAAATAAATTAGCAAGTGGACTTGGAAATTCTCAGAATGGGAAATTTGGAAAAGGTCTTGGCGAAGGCCGATGCCTAGAAATACGAAATACTGTGGAAAGCTTACAGAATATAATGTAAATATTTATAGAACAGAAAGATAATAGAAATGGTTATAAGAATACTGAAATGTTAAATCGAAAATGTATAAATAATAAATTTTTAAAATAGCATGTAAATTGTAAGAAATTATTATTAATAATTTCTCTCGGTTTTAGATACAAAATATTAGTTTTTATGCATAATCTTTAATATTATCATAATTAATAGGTGTGTGTTATGTTCGGTATGGTATGACTAATTGAGCATGAGTTGAGTTTTGATTTTGTCTGTTTAAACTTTAAATTAAATTTTAGTTCTTAACATAGGTTCGTAAGTGTATGTTAGGACAGACAGTGTAAACTCTTTATAACGAATTTCAAAGTTACGTTATAAAGAATTTACACTGTATTTTGTATGTATGTTTGACATGTTTTGTATTTGAGATTTTATGTAAAACATTGGCAATAAAAAAAATAAAAAAATGGAAAACAATAAAAATCTATAAAAGGATTTTAAATTGACATTAAAAAAATATTAGAGTGGAATATAATAAAAAAGATATTAAAGATTTTTAAACGTCTGATCGTTTAAAGACAATATAAATATAACAAACAATATTAATAAATCCATAAAAAACATAAAAAATACGACGCTAATGGGTAACGGCGACATGGACATCGGACGTCTCTTCGTGATTCTGCGAGCGCCATAGACAATGGAACTCTTGTGTGTGATAGACAATATCTTTAGTGTGTATGCTATTTGTAGATTTTGTCCGCGACACGAGCGACACAGACTTCGTCAGCGAGGTCGAATATGAACCCATCACGGACACGGAGGACGACGGACTGAACTCTAGAAACTCTTCTTGCCAGAGTGACGTAAGTAGTTTAGTAATTCTTTTATATGGGAGCGTTCGAGTATTACGTCACGCAATTTTTGGAGATTAACCCCCCCCCCATGTAGCGCGCCGTAACGTTTTTCTGTACCCAATAGTAAAACATTTCGTGACCACCAGAATGACTCTTTATACCTAAAAGTTACCATGTGTGACCATTGCCATCTAATGCATAACGTGACTTTAAATCTGTGTTTCATTATGTACAGAAACTCGGGGAATTCACGTTGTCGTGAAAAAAAGTTAGTTCACTGGGTGTTAGCGAAAAGAGTTTCGCTAGTAAAGAACAAATGTAGTTAGAACTTCTCAGAAAAGGTGCAAAAAATTCAAATAGTAATAGTAAAAAAATTTAGATTTTTAAAGCAAAGTTTTCAAGGTGCTACGATTTTCATGCAACAAATGATCCCTCGAATTCGTTTTTAAAATATATTTAATAGAAAGGTCAGTGACCGTAACTGCAGCGAATATTTACACTCAGGACAAAAAATCTTGTATGGACTTGTTTAATTCATTATCAATATAAATACGAATGTCACGATTAATAATGATTCATTTGATTTCGGATTTTTAAAAGGAAACCATGTCTTTACTACGTGCCTTGATGTTTAGTGTTTATCGGTTTACAAGCGGACATAGTTTTTTTTTAATATTGCTTAAACATTATACAACTACAGCCAAAAACAGAGGAAGAATGGAAAATGGGAAACAAATCTTTTTTGAGAGGAGACCAATTGGTGAATAAAAAACTGCAGGATAACCAGCGCGAAAAAAGGAAGAGAGATAAAACCGTATCTCCCAACTTGTCTACACAGAAAAAACAGAACACATCTAACAAGTTTGAAAACACATCGACTAAAACTAACAATGCAGGACAAAAAGAAATATTACAACCAAACATACTACAATATATAGGAAGAGATAGATCGTTTTCGACCTCCGACATTTCAAAAAACTAACAAACACACGCGAGCAACCTATCAAAACAAAAACAACAACAACTAAAACCGGAAAAGCAAAACAAATATGGAAGAAACACATTCTAAAACAACCTAACCAAGAAGCCTTCCCACCACGGTTGGTCGCCGCGGGAAGATCAGACCACCACCCTCTAACAAAAAAACATAATATATATATAGCATCCCTCAATATTAGGACTTTAAGAACTCCTGAATCACTAAAAAGAGTCGCAAAAGATAGAAAACAGTGGACAGGGTTAGAGGAGGCCTTTGCCAAGAGGCACACCGAACTCCGAGATATACTGGAGTGAAAATATATTAAAGTTCAGATATATAAAATGACAGAGTTTCGGAATTTAAAGGCTATATTATTATTATTATTATAAACATTATACATATATATGTCACCGTAAAATTGTAAACACCGTTAGATTGTAATCTATCTCGCGAGATTGTAATTTGTAAACTGTCGAAAGATTGTGAACCTCAACGAACTGCTTACAATTTAACGTATTATTATTCGGTAGATTGTAATCTATCGAAGTGAAACCGTCAAATTAAAATTTTCAAATTGTTAACTGTCCGAAGGCTGTCCCTGATTGGTTGGCTTTATAGTAGACCCTTCTATGTCCATAGAGTTAGGAATGAAACAGGGGTATCAGTCAAATAAACTGAATGCACTTCAAGAATTGTGACATCAAGTATTTATTCATTACTTAGTAGGTAATCAATAATTGTGACATCACATGGTAAAAAAAATTGTATCAAAATAAAAAAATCAGAAACGTAACAATATTTTCTCCTCAAACATAAATTAAACTTGAAAAATTAATGAAATTTTCTTTCATTTCATTTCCAACACGTATTTAGTTATCATTCAAACTTCTTTGGTCAATCACAGATTAATTTAACTTCCCAACAATTTCATATCACTAATTCTACAGCTGTGAGTTACTTTCAATACGACATTAATTTACATTCATCAAAACAATCAATTTACATTCGACATCAAACGAATTAACAAAAAAATATGGTGGCGCGGGGCATATTCCGTTCAACCAATCAGCGCGCGAAGTGCGATCCGTATCACAATTTGACGGTTTCACTTCGATAGATTATAATCTACCGAATAATAATACGTTAAATTGTAAGCAGTAAGTACGTTGAGTTCACAATCTTTCGACAGTTTACAATCTCGCGAGATAGATTACAATCTAACGGTGTTTACAATTTTACGGTGACATATATAAACTAAAAGTACTGAAAAACTAAGAACGCAAAGTCGAAAAAGTTTTCCTTGAAAAGCGATTATCGAACTTGTTCATAGATTGTTATTATTCCACAATGTCTATATAATTAATGTACATATTGGATTTTCACCTTACAATAGTCCTTAAAAAATTATTTGCAAGTTATAAATACTGTCCAAGTAGGTACATTTTAAAAGTTCGTCCGCCACTACAGTCACGAAGTCACAGAGCGAATTTGTTACTGCTATCTTGCTATAAGAAAATAGGTGATGTGAAAACTAATTTCATGTGGCAGTGATATTTAACAGGGTTTTTACTAACTTTCTCACATCTGTGGTTAGCAAACGCAGGTTCTTAACTTAATAGCAAATGTTACTGTCGTATACGCGTGTACTTCCAATTAAAAAAAAGTAACAGAAATGCTTAATTGTAATAATTGTCTCCTAAAGGGATTGCAGACAATACAATTGTAAATCCAAATCCTTATTATAATGTTATTTAATTAATTCCAGGATGACATCATAATGACCAAGGTGCTAGAGGTGTCAGTTGGTGACGATGGGGAATTGCAGTTGGCTGACTCTGAGCAGACGGTAACAGATGACAATGATTCGGAGATAGATCTACACGACTACTGGCTGTGTGTGCAGTGCAAGAGCGAAAACAATAACCCCCGGTATCGATACTGCGAGCAATGCTTTAAGGTGAGGAGGGAGATTCAAATCAACTATCGTCACTGTAGATAACCTCGTATGTCGAAAAACCATTTTTTTTTTAATTCTCAGACTCTTATGTCATTTAACTTATATAATCATGAAGAAATTCCTTTTTACCATCTAAAACTATGGACAAAAACACATAATAATATTTTAACGAACATTGAAGAAATGAAAAAAAAATTTCATCTCCCTGTAATGTTTGGTTCTCAGGACATATGAGGTTATCATTCTTCAGCGACGCTATGTTCTTTTCGAAATGGTTAATGTATTAAAACAATGTCACTTTCTGCGCCTACTTCGTGGATGATAAACCAATCTGAAGTTATTATTGTATCCGAAAAAGGTGTAGGACATTAAAAATACTGTAAAAAGAAGAGAATGAACACTGATAGTGCTCTGTAACTTCTATTAGCGAACTCGACATCGATTTTCAGTTTTTACCCGTTTTAGTTCTTTTAATATCCTTAGTAAAAGATGTCGTGAGGGCATGGTCCAAATGCAATGGAATCGTTTTTGGGAGTTATAGACCTCTAGATGATTGAAATAATATTATTATTAGTAATTAATTAACTTTGCTTTAATAAAAGATAGATCATCAAAAGACTAAAAGGTATGTATTACCAATACCACTTTCAGCAAAAGTGAGCGTCCCCGTGCAGAGGTCATCTATACAGTTTGATTTGTTTAGACGAAATTATTTGAATTTATAGAAGGCTTTTAGGTCAAGTCTGTCCGTTAGTATAAAATGACAGTTGACACACTACCGATATTACAATTGTGGTAATAACAGTATTCTGCTTACTACGGCTCATGTCTTCGGTGTTAATAAATCTCAGTGAGAGAAGTAAAAGAAAGATTTATATCAGTGTATTCCAACTTAAGAAGCAAGTTTCATCAAAATGTAGTAACGTGTAGCGCTGCAACTCTAAATGGGTCTTGGCTACAGATTGCATGCATTTATTTGGTATTTTTATTTCATAGACAAGAAGGTGATCAGCTTTCTGTTTGACACAATATGCCATCGATTGCTAAAGTTTGAGACATGTTTCCTCACGATGTTTGCCTACACCGTAGGTGCAAGTGCTCATGCAAAATTCCATTGGAATCACTGCTTGCACAGCCGTATGCAAGAACTCAGGGTCGAGGGTGGCATGCTTAAGCCTAAAACTAATCTGCACAGGACCAATGAATGTTATACAGTGTAAACTCTTTATAACGAATTTTAAGGGACCGAGCATATTTATTCGTTATAGAGAGCAGTCGTTATAGGATGGGAAGAATTAATGTATGGTTATTGGGTTAAACGAAAAAAATTTAACTCATTTTTAAGTTATAGAGAGTTTTTCGTTATAAAGAATTTACACCGCATTTGAAAACGAGAGCTCTTAACTCTGAAACTTCCAAAAGCGGTATCGCGAGCGATCTGACCTCAATAATAAGTTTTGTTTCGCGTGATTAAAGGATTGCGAAAATTAAGAGAACTACTCACTATCGCTATTAGAAGTAACAGAGTAAGGGCGCATACCTTATTAGTAAAAAAATACCATATTGAATGAATGTATTTATTTATATTATATTATATTCATTTGAGTGTCACATAAAGTATATAATAATATTTTATATTTATTTAAGCTTAGAATCTTGTATATCATAACAAAAACACTGGAAGTCAGATTGGAAATACAGAGAGTGATAGAACATAATCCGTAATAATGATATAATCCGTCTAGAATTTTGTTTACCATTTTATGGCAGTGGCTAACAATATCTTGCTATATTTTCATAATATGGCTTTATGTATTAATACTACCCATTGATTGTAAAGCAATTACTATTTAAAAACTGTATTTCTTACGTCTTATTACCCGCACCGCTTATGACGAAGGTTACCATAGTAAATTATTTAAACTGTTAAATTTGACTGTTATTAACTAATATCAGGTAAGGATACAAACATGAATGTATGTATAAGGTACAGGGTTTTTATATATAGGTGTATATTTTTTATTGTTGTAATATAGGATTGTTTCCTTTAAAAACTATGATTCATAATGAAATTTTTGACCATATATTTCTAGGTACGTAGAGATTTCTTCCCGCCGAGACCGAAGCGAAAAAACCGCCGTAAGAACCGCTTAGAGACAGATATTCTGCGTCCGCAATCCTCAAACTCAGATATAAACGCTGAAAACGTTCCGGAATCACAGACCAAAAGCGTTACACTTTCGCAAGTAGATCTGACAAATGTTCCGGAACCTTTTCCATGTAGTTCGCAAGATTCCGGCTTCGAGTCGGTTATCAACAGCCAAGACTTGAGCCAAGACGTCAAAATTGATAATTTAAATGCAATACTAGGTAGGAATTTAAAACGACGCGCGGCATCGGCCGATCGGAACCTTAAAAAGGTTTAAAGATAGTACAGATTTCGGATCGATAGTTGATGAAGATGACGTCAAGCCTCTTAATAAAACTACTAGTGATCCAGAAGTAAAAATAGAAAGCATGAATGCGCCACAAAATCGTCATTCGTCGACGAATATGGCTATTGCTAGTAGTGATATAAATGATATGTGTATAACTTGCTGTTCAGCCCCTAAATCCGGAGTGTTTGTTCACGGGCGGATAGCGCACATATGCTGTTGTTTTAAATGCGCGGTCAAGGTTTGGAACAACGCCAAAAGATGTCCGGTTTGCAATTGTAAAGTTAGTAATGTTTTAAGGGCTGTTGTTATGTAACGAAAGCTAGGAAAAGGTTCAAATTATATCTTTGGTAGTTCTTTGCGAAATATTTTTCAATAACCCTTTTGCCTGATTCGAAAAGTGGTATTTAACTATAGTACATACGTTTTATTTCTATCCATAGCTTTTCATATCATTTAATGTGGAAATCATAAATAACTGATCACTTGACATGCCTTCTGCGCCAATTACTAAAAAAAAACGTTTTTTGACCACATCTATGATTCACTTTTTGAAACATGTCATTATTTTGTCACATATTATCTCACAATTTACTTTCATAAGTAAATAAAGCAAATTCTTCGTTTTCCCTAGTTACGAACAAATGTGATTTTTTATCGGCAGTGAAAAGCACCTTTCTTAATGAAGCATCTGCTGCTCAAGGGAGCGTTCAAGTATTACGTCAAGCAATTTTCGGAGATTATTGACCTCCCCCCCCCATGTAACGCGCCGTAACGTTTTTCTGGACCCAAGTACCTACAGTACTGTACCCAAGTATAGTAAAACGTTTCGTGACCACCTAGTGACTCTTTATACCTAAAAGTTACCATTATTTGGTGTAAAGTACCTACTGGAAAGTCGAAAATAATATTAACAATAACGCGTAATTCAATCCCCGCCCCGCATCGTCACGTTTTACAAAAGGACCCCCCCTCCCAAAAAAATTCGTTACGTGATACTTGAACGCTCCCTCATATATAAACACAAAAATTTACTTGTCTTATCTCTTATGAAAAAGAATAATACCATACCGAAATTTCATAGGGCAACGTCCAGCCGAAATATATTTATGTAGGTAAATTCTTACGTGCGGACGAAGTTCTATACTCTTTGCTTAGCACTCTGTTTTTTTTACAAGGTGATTTTTAGGAGACTATCAGAATTTGGCAAGCCAAAACAGAAGCAATGCATATACAAATATCTACTACTAACAATATATAACACTCAAATCTACAAAAACCTGGTTAATTTCTAAATTACAAGTAATATCTGTAGTAATGTAATATATAAAAAAATGAGAAATGCATCAGTAGGGCAAATATCTAAAATTGTCCGTTTACTAGTTTAATTTATTAATTCCGTTCTAACTCTTCTGTTTTTTAAAGAACTACAATAGTAAAATGTGTCATTGAAAATCATAGAAATTGATAATACTTCTATAATTACTCAATAGGTTAAAACAAAAATGGGCAATGTTATAATAAAGGTTATAACATCTCAGAAAACAGAAAATGTTGTTTGATACAATCAACAAATGATAATTATAAACTACTATATGCTTAAAATAATACTATGTCAGGCACACTTCTTTAGAAAAAATCTTATACTTAATTATTTAATAATAACACCAATTTATTTTATTAGGTGGGTTGACATATAGATGGCGCTACTAGTATTAAATTAATATGATAAGCCCTAACCTTCAAAAGACATATCTTAATCAACAACACTTTTCGGTTACTCAAAATTATTTTGTGGACTTTTTTGATGTTTTCGTCGGTAACAGCCTCTTTGGGGGGGTGTCCATTGTGCTCATCGTCCTCGGTGCTCATTTCACCTCGTTTAAACTTAGCAAACCGCTTCTCAACGCTGGATTTTCCTGGTGCAGAGTCCAAATAATGTTTATCAAGCCAAACCTTGGCTTCAGTAGTATTTCTTCTCCAAAAATCAATGCTTTATTAACACACGAAATTCCGTTACTAACTAATAGTACGACAGTTGTCAAATTTATATAAGTATCTTTTGAAGATTAGGGCTAATTAAAAATCATATTAATTTAATTCTAGTATCGCCATATGTCAGCCCACCTAAAGATAAACCCAAAAGGGAAAGCTGCCACTTTTGACGTATTTTCAAGAACCTAACATTCTGATTAAGCATCTTCAAATTGTATTTATTTGCCTCTTTGTACGTGTAGTAGCTTTTGACTACTTTTTTTAGGCAGTGTGGAAATATTTTATAAAATTGTAGTCGCCACTTTCGCAAAGGTTTCATCAATTTTTTTTAACAAAAATTTAAAAATAGTTTAGTTCATTTTTTAATTTTTTTTTTAATTGTAAGAATCGGTTTTATTAAAAAAGTTGTTTGTAGGTAATTAAAATTATAATCTGTAACTTATTTGTAACCACCGAAAAAGAGAGATATATTTTATTTTTACAATACTTAGAATAGTATTAGAATTATATATCTATATTTAATCCCAATTATTTCAGTACTGTAGGGTCAAATACATACGGCTTTTTACGTTACGGATTTTTGGAACAGATGTTTCCTATACTATACGGTCACTTGACCAACCAAGCTCTAGTGAATGTCATTCCCATGCCAATTCGCGCCCATACAAAGTAATAAACATGTATATATTGTATATTATATATATTTTGTACAGTGGTCATTTACGTAGGCCAAAATAGATGGTAAAATTAAAAATGTATGTATAATTCTATATATACATTGATTTCTTTAAGAAATGTAGGATAATCTAGACTTGCAAAAATATCCCAATCACAAAATAATTCTATAAGTTGACGTCAATTGCTATTCATATATATTCCTTACATTTTTAATATCGCTAAATTAGCCAAGCGGAGATTTTCTGAGGAAATTATGCAAATTATTTAACTGTCAATAGAAAACATTCTTGGTCTTATTATATTAATTACGCTTCTATAATTAATACGACTTTCCTAATTAAAAACCCACCAAATTCCTACCGAGAAGAGGATTTAATATTGTTATAATTTCTATTTCTATAAAAATAATATTTATAATATGTATATTATTAATTTTACGGGAACAGGTCACGTGTGAAATGTAAAGTAGTTCTTACGTTTAAACTTGTAATTAACACTAAGCATTAAAAAAATTGATATAGTAAAAAAAATAATAAATAATTTTATTTCAGGCAGTTCGTTTTTTATTTAAGAATTCCTTTTGGTAAGTTTATTAAGGTAGTTTATATTATACAGGATCCAGAACTAATTAATAAGTTATTCGAAATTACATTAATACAATTTTGTTAAAAGTATTAAAAGTGCTGAAAGCTTATATTTAATTCCTTACTAACCGACGAGGCACGTTATTGCCTGGTAGTACTGGTATGTTTATTAATATCTCATTTAAAACAAGTCTAAAAAGGAGTTCCTCATACCCCATTATTTTTTACATCTATTATTGGTTTGGGCAAGGTCGTGCTGACGATTAAAAAAAGTTCATTTAGTTATCGTCCCTAAAACTAGTGATACTTAAAATTTAGACGGGGTTTGGTAGCTTGTATAATGATAGTTATTACAAATGTAGTAATGAGATTGAGAAGTTACCTAAGTTCTGTTTAAAAAAAAATTGGACTAACTTTAAACACATGTGATTTTTACCACACTGAGGGGCAAATTTAACTGACGTCAGAACACCACGGTCACCTTTTTCTGTCGCCAAAGCATTTCCCTTCTAAGAAATATTAAAAACTTTATTCATGAGTCATGCCAGAAATATGGTAGTAACGAAGTTCATCTATCGCTATTCGCCCCTGTGTTGTGTAAATTACAACGTGGTACATACTACATGGTGCATGTTTAAAATGTACTTATAAACAAACACAAGTCGTACTTAAGTATTCTTGAATGTATGAGTATGTAAATGGATGTGTGTGCGTATAATACACTCTGTGATTGATAGTGTGGCTGAAAGTTGTTATAGTTACAGAAATGTATGTTTTTAATTTCCCACCGTAAGGTAGTAGAACTTTACCAATAAACTGGGATAACTAAAACGCGTGATTTGCGGAATCTTAAAAGATAATTTATTTTAATAAGCATGAATAAATCAGTGCCAGCTTCTTATTTATGAGCCGTACCGTTATCTGACGTTCTACGAAAATAAATTATTTTATTTCACTGAGTATTATTTTTGGATTTGTTATATATATTAAGTATGTAAACTAATATGAGAAAATATGATAGACCTTCTCGAATCTGTATGAATATTTAATAGAAGTGATTTAGCACTAGCTAGGACTACTGAATCTACCTACAGGTAAAATAACTTTGGAAATCCAGGATCTACTGATGGAGTTGTGAAGCACTTAAGATGTTTGTATGCTTATATTTTCTTTATGAGATAAGTATTTGCTAGTCTAGCATAAAATATATTTATAATTGCCAAATTATATATTTGGATGGATAACGATAGATGCAAATTATTTATATGGATTATGATGGATTTTGTTTGGCAAGTGCGTAATCAACTCTTTGTGCCATTGATTTGTCTTTTCCATATGAGCATGTTTATATTACGAAAATGGAAAAAAAAAACATATTTCGTTAATTAATATTCGAACGAACGACCAGGGTTGACAATCTCATGCCTAACTTCTAGTCTCATACTGTTCAAATTTCAATACCATAATTTTTGTCGAGTCAATCCTACTTAGAGATATCTTTCTGCAATGCTCCCATTTCACAAAACTATAGAAGTTGTAAAGGAGTGGTTAATTACTCCTCCTATGAAGAGGCTCTTAACAATATTTAAAAGCCATTTCATAGCTTAATAGTGGCATGTCTGAATAACATTATTTTAAAAATATGCAACGTGCAAGAGGATCGTGAAACACTACAGAAAATATAATATTTTTAAATGGAGCAAACAAGCCATAATAGACCATGGACACCCATTTTGCATTTGAGGTAGGGAGATCCTATAATGGTAGCGAACACGGAATGTGTTAACCGTTTACTTTAATTCTGAAAATATATTTGCTAATCTCTTAAAAATATACTAAGAATTTATTAGTTTACAAGGGCATGAAAAATAGTGAGATAACATTGGAAGTATTATACAGGGCGTCCCAGAGTTATGGGACATGAAGGGAAAGTACCTTAAACATCTTAGATAGGGTATTTTACTTAAAGAAGACTTTTTAACGATTCCCGGACGAGGCAAGTAATTTTTAGAAAATCTTTGAATGTAGAATTACTAACATTCTTTCAGTAAAATATCTT